CTGCCTGCACGGCACCGTCCTCCGGTGGGAAGAGCGCGCGGACTCACCTGGAGAAGATGGAAAGGTCGCTTACCCCTGTTCTTCAAGACGCCTGGTTGACGTGCGGGAGTCTCCTACCCTGCTTTCCTCTCTCCCTCTTTCTCAGGGCCTTTGCCAGGTACGGTTGAGCGGTGAGGAGCGAGCTGGAGGCGAGCGCCTCCTCCCCGCCATGAGCTGAGGGAGGACCAGAGGAGCTAGAGCACGGTCCCTGCCGGTGCACAAGGCAGAGCTTTCTGGTCTCCCGCGGAAGGGCGTGAGTACAAGCGCTGTTGTTGACGCGTGCCTCCGTGTCGTGACAAAACGCTGCCTGGGGGTAAGTCGTCTCTCTGTCCCGAAGGACGTGGCAGCTGCTGGACAGCCTCAGGTGTTGGGCAGAGAGGTTGGAAGGGATCTCTGGAGACCGCTGATCCGGTCTCCTGCTCCGAGCAGGACTAGAGTCAAAGATGACAGACCAGGGTGCTCAGGGCGTTGTCCACTTGAGGGTTTGGTCTACCCCGTCTTGATGCGTTGTTTGACGTTGGCTGACATCCCTCAGGTCGTAAAGGTGAACGTAGCTCAGATCTGGTCTGAACCCGCTGAAGGGAACCACTGCCTGGGCTTGCACGCGACCAGGCGACGGTAGATGCGCCACGTTCACCCCAAAGCTCGAGCGGGCGTTGAAACGAGCCTTTCCCAGCTCGTGAGCTCTCAGGAGCCTTCGTGGGATGCCAGCCAAGTCTCAGGGGGCTGCTCTCTGCTGGTTGTTTTGCCGTAGGGTTGACATCCATCGGAAGGAGAACGCCGGCGCAGCCGAAAAGCCCATCACCATCCACGCCACGCCAGAGGGCTGCTCGGAAGCGTGCCGCATGATCCTCGATATCATGCAGAAGGAGGCGGACGAAACGAAATCGTAAGTGCGACGGGCGGTGCCCCGGCTCAGCGAAACGGGCAGGTTTGGTGGGAGGGAGCTGAATTCAGGTGTCGGTACTGAGGAATCCGCTGGCATGTGGAGGTTCAGGATCTTGGATCAGTTAGCTTCTCCGTGGGGTGGGTGTCAGCGCGGTAGAGATCAGGAGCTCGGGTGTGTCCAGAGAGCATGTAGGCAAACCTGGAGAGCAAAACCCCCTGAAACACAGATCTGCCATCAGGCTTGGGGAGTACCCGTTGCCCAGAAGCTGGGGAAGCGCAGAGCTGGGACACCGTGATGGTGGTTCTGCTCCTTCCACCACATTGTTAGTGCCCGTTGCTGGAAATGGGTTTCCTGGCCAGGTGGACCTTCAGATTTTATTTTTTAATCCATTTTAGAGCAGAAGAGATTCCCTTGAAAATCCTAGCACACAACAGTCTGGTGGGGAGGTTGATTGGCAAAGAGGGCCGCAACCTCAAGAAGATCGAGCAGGACACGGGCACGAAGATCACCATCTCCCCGT